ATTCTTCAGTCAAAACGTCGATCCAGAAATCATTTCGTCAGGTATCACTCATACTATACATCTTCACCCGAACTTGGACATCTGTTCAATTGGTGTCCCGGCCCTGAGGAGGGAGGACAAACCGCCCTCTTTAAGGGAAATCTGCCCTGGGCTACATCCCCGTAGCCAACCCGTGTATATTGCATACCGCCCACTGTTGTACTATCTGTATGGGGCGGCGTGATATCTCTTCTGGGAACTTGCATTATTGAAAGGCATGCATCTTACTTATTACGAGCTACACGCTCGAACATTGAACGTTGTAATTATGACGTAGGTATGTCGTTTCTGTACTGTCAATCGGAACCTGACTTCATATCACGTCTTAGGATTTACAGTGATCGCTCCACGGACTATAGATAATCATACTGTTCTTGGACTGTGCCGTTGAGTTTATACAAAAGGAGCCTATACTCCGAGTCATTAAACTCAGCGTGTCTGAGACTACGAATGTAAAACCTTAGTAAGCTCTAACCTTTTAAGCTTGAGAATTGATACGCGTGGCTTCAAAAAAAACTTCACTATCACAATATGAAGGCAGATCATCCTCTGTGTCCGGATAGTATGTCTAGATCTCAGCTTGTGTTACAAAGTATTGGGGAAGCTGCTGCGTTTGAAGTGCCTCGATCGGAACGGAGTTCCATTCTATTTCATCGTGGCTTATCATGTGGCACCGTCGTCGTACGTAAAGTCAACTTTTGATCTTGTACAGGACCACAATCGTTGACGTGCAGTCATAAGGTATGCCTATATTCATAGTGTTGGGATCCCTCTCGATGACAAGGTCAAGCTTTCAAATCAGGTTATTGCATCGGTGATATACAGTGATGTCTGAATCTTTAATTGCCGCCCGCAAAGCAGACGAAGATGCTCGCAAAAGTATCGATGATGATATCGTTATACATTCAGCAGCAATCATGAAACTCAAGGACAGACGCAACGCACTTGCTGCCATAAACCGTATCCCTCCCGAGCTGCTCTCTGAAATCTTTCGGATTTGTCGAGCCGTTCCGGATTGGAGGAGTGCGGGCGATCGATATAGCCACCAAAGAGGATTTTGCGGCTGGATTACCATCACCTGGGTCTGCCGTCACTGGCGTGAGGTGGCATTAGGCACACACCGCCTGTGGAGCCAACTGGACTTGGACGTTCCTTCTTTCGTTGAGGAGTGTTTATTGCCTCGCTCTCATGAGTCGCCATGGCATTTGACGGCTCTCCATTGGGGAACCAGACAGGACGGCCTTTTCCGATCACTCTTCTTGAATTTCGATACAATTCGTCACATCGACTTCACTTTTGGCCGCCTCGACCAACCATTTGGCCTCGTACCCATTCCCTCCCGCTCCTCTAACCTCGAGTCGCTTCAAATCGGGACAGACGGAATCGGTACACACAAGTGCTCTCTATCGTTGTTCAAGCAGTGCAACTTTCCTCGCATACAAAGTTTACAACTTACCAATTGGTTGGATATACCGCCATCTCTTTTTGGGTCCACGTTGACCACGCTGGCTCTTCGTGCGTCAATATATGAAACAGATATGGCCCCATCATCCATCGATTTCAGTGAATTCCTGAAATCATTGTCTAAGTTGATGTTGCTTGAACATCTATCCATCGAAAATATAGCCTTCAGTGGTATATCGCGCCGCACTGCGACCACGATCACTTTACCAAAGCTCAAGTTTCTCTTATTCCACTCGCCATCCCCCGAATACATAAACTACGTTGACGTCTTAAAAAGGCTCAAACTTCCTCCCAGAGTGCATTGCTACCTTATATGCTCCTATCACAGCGAACTACAGGAGATCCCCAAAATCCTCACAGACATTAGAGTGTACTTCAGCCCCATGCGATTCAAATCTCTGGGGGTTCTCGTGGAAAACGGGTGGTTTGCGATTCAAGGATGGCTTGACGATCCGGGACCTTTGTTTGACGAGTCCCGGCCGAAGCCCTCCCTTCATCTGGGATTTCCCCCCTATGTCAGTAAATTGCGTTACGTATGGGAAGAGTTCCTCGAGACTATACACATACGTGATCTAAAGTCCTTATTGCTTGGCTCACCGACGGACATGGATATGTTTGGCGATCCTGAAACCACGTGTATACGGTTTCTTACAAAGTGTCACAACCTCGAAACCCTCACCATCTACGGAAATAGCGCAGAAATAGCGATATCGGCACTGAATGACCTTGCTGAATGGTCCCCGGAAGACGGGCCAGATGTGGTTCCCATCATGCCTAAACTCACGACACTTGTTTTGTCTAACGTGATATGGCGTACCCGGGAAGAGTGCGATGCACTTGAGCAAGGGCCATGTATGTTTGATGGACAGTTTGTGCGAGCCTTGCAAATTGGGTTGTCGGGCAGAGGTATAATCGGTTACCCTGTAAACACCGTCTTGATTCAGGAGTGTGTGGCCATGGATGATCAGGATGTAGCCCTTCTTGAGGAAGATGTATTAAACGTTGAGTGGGATGAACATTTCGAATATCATCCAAGCTATTACGAGACAGAGTCTGATTCAGACTCATATGCCAGTAATCCGTAGTACTCCCTTAAAATAGTGATTTCTTCGCTGTAGTGCCCGTTGTGTTTAGCTTTGTTATATTAGTATTGCCCCGTGTACCTCCAGCATAGAATGATGCTTAGCTATGGTAGAACATGGTGAATGTATGAGAGCGTGTGTGTCACATGAGAAGTTACAATGTGAAAAAACGAATATTCCGTCGTTGATATGATTTCGCTCCTATGCAAGTAGTAACGAGACCGCAGTAAGTGCCCTGGGATTTATTCGAAAACAATCGGCAATGAATCAAGTAAATCAATTGCGGAAGACTTACGAAGATGAGAAGAATAGGAACATATCTGAACGATCATCGCTCCAGATCAATTCAAAATGTAAACAACACAATATATGACCACTTACATTGAACGAGCAAAAATGCCTGTCGGCGATTTAGTTCATCTCTGAGTGAGAATGTGATAAAATATAGAACTCACTGCAAGGGTATCTACATTTGCATCCGGCGAATACAAGCTCGCTACTATGAGTTGGCTGTTTCGTGATTCTTCAGTCCATATATCCACTTCGTTGTAAGAGAGACTCATACTTGATCGCTGCAGGAGACCCGCTCAAAAACATAGCGACAAATTTCTCCACCTTGGCATCGCGATGTATCATACCACCATTCACCATCCCCTGTACCATGAAAACGCCAATGACGGGCAGGAGGATCATTTTGGCAAAAGTCACTGATACCATTGCAGTAATAGGGAGGCGGGAAATGGGTCTAGGGATTTTGAGTCGGGCAAAAGAGGCACCGAGAAGGATGAGAGCCAAGGGAATAGCCATTTCGCCGAGAAACTGTGCTGAAGGATCTCATCGTCAGACAAGAGACTTTTTGAAGAGGTTGGGTTTAGAAGAACATACCGGTGTCGAGAAGGAACGCAAGAGGGGGTCGGTCGTCAGGTCCCTTCCAGTCGGGTCCACCAGTTTCGGACCCATCAATGAAGAGGGCCTTAAGTTGTGGCACAAGAGCAAAGGGAAGCGACAAAACCAACGAGACTGTGACGGGTGAGAGAACACCATAAATGCGGATTAACAGGCGTTTAACTCTTGGATGGCGAGTCCTATCGAAAGAAGTGGTGTGCATTGGTGCTATTTCTTCTTTACTCGATTGAGGAGCATGGTAGCTGGATGACTTGGCCACAGGATGTGCTTTGGGAGGCCGAGGGACAACCACGACTTGGGTGGACGGTTCAGGGCCTGATACTGAGTTTCGATATATGGAACCTTCATTCGTGGTGGCATTCATCTCAAGACTGGCACGTTCCTGAGAAGCAGAAGGTCTGAGGGCACGTAAGCGACGGTGAATGTATGAGCCAATCGGCTTTTCCTTCCACGACACACGGAATTCAGCGGCTTCTCCTTGAGGAATTCCAGGCAAGTAGTCCCATGATAGCGTGTATGCAGCACCCAACACGAAAAATACTAGATGATATGCAACAATGAAGATCGCGACGTAAGAAACACCCACTATTCAAGAGAAATAAACTATTGAGCGAGAAAGACAAAATCCAAGAGGATAACGCACGCTCTGTGTCTGTCATTGGATTGAAGGGGGGTCTCTGAGTTATTGACATGACCACTGCGTTTGCTGTGAAACAATTTCGATTTCTGCATCTTTTGGGAAAGAGGATAACGAAAAAAAACTGACGTAGACTGCTCCAGTTACTTAGACCAGACACGACCAGAATACCTTGCCAGAAATTCCTTGGTACATAGCAAATTTCGCGAATGATTAGTCCAAACAGAAACCCGAGAAGCTGATATACGAAAGCGACCATAAACAGTGGCCCTATAGCCGCTGCATTTTGGGTATTGAATGCCGGTACAACACTAGCAAAAATGAGCAGAGGTAATGATACGTTCATTGTGAGATGAGATGCCCCTTTGACGGCTGCCGCGGGAAAGAGGTCTTGTCTCGCTAGAAAATACCCAACCGCAATCGACAAAAATCTGGAAGTGATAATGTTAGCTGACTGTATTGTAACCATTGTTCTGAATCATACGTTTTCACGAGGGGCATGATACCGGAAAATATGAGGAAGCTGGGAGACAACATGTCGTATGGCCTATATCGATAGTCAGAGTCTCATGAGAGTGAAGAAGGTACTTTCCTCAAGGATTCATCCACCCAGAATCTTATAGTAGATACTATAGCACCAAGCATGGCATGTGGATCATAGGGAGGCTACCGCTCACCCATTCATGCCAGGACGCAAGGCGTAAACATTAGGGGATATTGCGCAATTCATATAAGATTGGAGGTTTAGGAGCCTTAATCAAGAATACATTCTGATTAAAAAGTTGAGGAAAAATCCGTTATGTACGAAATGGAAGTGATGAACGTACGTATTCATTTGTTCAACACACAAAAAGGCCTCTATTTAAAATATTTGCCCATTGGCTGGATTGAACAACCGACCTCACCATTAATCTTAGTAATACAAGTGGCGCGCTCTACCACTGAGCTAAACGGGCTATACTCTGAATCCGTGTGATAGACCCATAGCGAGAAGTCTGAAGCAGGCGGCTGCTTTGTCAGCTGGTGGGTGTGGTTACGGGTTTGGAGGCTGAGACGACCTTGTCACATCCACTCACTCGACTCGAGATCCGTTGTCTTCCAGTCGGTATCTTTTCACTTGGGATCACTCAATTTCGATGCTAACACACCCTGACGGTCTTCTGATTCATCCAGATCTCCAGCTATAGCTCATTCCCCGAAAAACGCAGACAAGTTGGCAACCCATGTCGAATTTTATAATGTCCAATTTTTCAAAACAACAATCTAGTATTTGCCCCGCGTATGTTGTCATCCTTTGCATACGCGTTCACCAGTACTGACTTATCCTTGCATTTAGCAACGGTCGTCAAACCGTTGGAGATGGGGCTTTCTCTTCCGACATGACTCCTAGCGTGCTTGCGGTCTGCCAAATGCAGGGCAGCGATTCCATGTACTACTATTCCACTACGTTCTCTGGCGGACCTGGGGTATGTCTTCCGCTCATTATCCCTCATACTATCATCATACTGATTTCAATACTCCTCGCATAGTGGCGTTTTTGACATCCCTAACGCCAAATGCCCTCCTGACCGAGGGTCGTCAGACTGGGTGACAGACAGTCTGGCGCCATACCCTTCCTCGCCCTCTTCCGACCGTTCATCCACGCTATCATCTATCGGACCAGAAAAGTTTCCAGATTCTATCGTATATCCACCCACTCCCCCTCCCGATCATCACAAGAACCAATTCTACGATGATCTTTTCGACTCAGAGATCCAATACCCCGCCTACCCAATTGCTATCTCAGCTCCAAGGGATATTCCACGTGCACCTCCAGCCGACATCCCTACTCCACCTTTAACGCCTGACGATGGTCATAACGAAGAAGGTGGAAGTGTATCTGCTATTAGTGCCAAACAGGCCAATGCCGCATTGGATCTCTTGAGCGCCTTGTTCCCTCGAAATGCTCTTGGAGCTCTACCTTTTGCCAAGAGTGTCACTATTTCGTCTCCCAATCTCGGCCAGGCAGTCTTCGATGGCGTTGTTCTCGAACTTCCCGATAAGCCAAAGACCCTCTACGTAGATGGGAAGAATGCTGCACACGTGAACTTACGCGAAAGGTATGTACGCCTCATTGCATTTAATTTTGTCCCCCACCTTCCTTCTTCTGCCTGTCCTTCGTACACGTTTGCAACCTTACGCCGCCTTCTTTCCTTCTCTTCCCTGTATGCGTCACCAGATCGTCTGACCTCTGTTTAGTATTGTCGCCCTTCTCGATTTAGCAGACGAACAACTCGGCTGCTCTGGCCTCGTCATCGCTTTGGATAAGAGCTGTCCTATGCTTGCTGATCTCTTGCACGCACTAATGTATGTTGGAGGCACAGTCGTTAGCAAGCCGCCTTTCCAAACCGATCCTGCATACGTCCTCGTCGGCATGGAGATTTAATGCCCTATCCTTAACAAAAGGAGGTATTGTTTCTTGATCTCCAGTCGAAACATCGACTATCTATGTTGTCTCGGTACTGATCCAGCAGGCTTTGGGTCATTATAGTGGAAGCTGCAAAGGAGTCCTTTTTTCTTGTTTCTTTTCCAAAATTTACCTCCGATACATGTAAACTTTCTCTAGCGTTGTGATGTAACTGACTACTTGTAGCTCTCTCATGTCCAGAGATGAGCACACTGCTTCTTTTTGTCTGAACTCAAACAGATACTACATACCTATATACGCGTTCACCTTAGTTTTTTCTGCGTGATGTGCGTCCAATCGCTCAGGTACAAGACAAGAATCTAAGAAAACGACATTGCAATGAGAACTTGCAAGTACGACGTATTCAAATTCGAAGGTGTTTCTAGTAATTCTACGTGTTGCTTCCTCCAACCCTTGTAACCACGTCCACGTAGAACATTGAACATGGAAAGGTATATTCGAATAGATCTCAGATCTGAACATGGATACATACTACTTACGATGGGAGACAATGTGCAGCACAGCCAATAAATTCAATATATCAAGAGGTACCATTTTCCCCCAGACATTCAGAGGACGACAACGCCTATCACGAACGACGAAAAGTCGACAAGACCTTTGATAGATGAAGTCCATAAAGAGCCATAAATACTCGCAGGTATATATACACAGCAATACAACAAGCCACCGTGGCGTAACCGTCCTAAAGCGCGGCCATCCAGCGCAGAAATAACAAGTCGTGGTCGTATCAAGAGTTCTTGGCGAACCTGAAGGAAATAAATGGAATAACATCGAATTTGGGACATTATATCCCGAATGGAAATCAAGGCAAGGGTGGGGAGACAGACGCTTAGCGACTGAACATCCGCGAAACCCTGTCATAAGTAGGCATCTCGATATCGCTGATGGATTTGCCCAAGTCGAAAGGAGATGTTCGTCCACCTCCGCTGAACCCCCCTATCGACAGTTCGTATTCCATATGCTTCACTTCGGCGTTTCGTAGGCGGAGAAGCGACCTGTTCAATACAGTGGTTGTCATCGCCCACACGAAGCTAGAGTAACGTTCAACATCAGTCAAATTTGAAAACATGGTCATATGGGAGAGAGAATACATACAATGCTCCGAGCATGATCAAGGATGGTTGTCTGATCGAAGCAAAACCTAAGTTTAGGGCTCGAAGAGTGGTTAGAGCCTAGGTGCGGGGGTTGTGTGGATTAGAACAGACTCCGGTTTTCGCACCAAGGTGGGAATGGTACTCACGACAAAGTAGATAATGCCGTCTCGATACAATGCCTTCACAACGGGTAGTTGGGCACCTCGTGGCCGGTCCAGGGCATTTAAAATTGTTAATACCAGAACGAGAATCTCAAATAACATCTGTTGTATTTTAGCACATGGTGTGAGTTAGAAGAAACGAAGACACTAACTGGTGCAGCCCAAACCGCGATGAAAGTTGGTGTTGTGGACGAAACGATGCACATATTTGCAATCTCCGACCATGTTACCGTAGCTGAGAAATACCGGAGTTAGTGGATCCTTTGTTGTTAGTATTGTATACGAGACTTACGACCAAGGTTCGCAAGGGCGATTCCCATAAAGACCACTTGGGCTGAGAAACTTGCTACGAACCCTGCGGTCATGAGCTTGACAACAAGCTTCGCGAATCAAGTTCAGCCCCATTTTGCTCCGAGTTTGTGATTGGATCAACGCACCGGTCTATGATCCCACAAGATCATAACTCTTAACAATACCAGGGCGTTGGCGATACCGACAGAGCCAATTGCAAGAGTCGAAGTAGTAAAAAGGAGATGTTTGCAGCTATCGTTGGGAATCACAAGAGTTAGTCTGACACTGAGTCCCATAACTTTAATGTATTTACCCCTGGATTCGAGTTAGTAAATCGTGGAAGTGATCTTAGAATGAATACTAACAGCAGTAGTGAATGCATTATGCTTTAGCCCGCTCATCTCTGAATAATACGTCCAAAGGTCAGTGACAAAAAGTCTGGGTGTACAATACACTCACCATGTGCTACAGGCAAAAGACAACTCAAGACCAAGTATCGGTTGAAAAGGAATGCATATTTCGCAAAAGAATGAGGCGCATGCCATACGAGCCTAATCTCTTCACTAAACGTTAGGATATGGTCATAGAGAAGAACAACAAGTCCTGCGGCTAAACCGGGATTTCAGCAAGCGAAAATGATCAAGAGAGAAGAAACGACATACCACTGAGATATCGAGTTGCGTATGCATCCTTCAGAGCAGCGACGAGTTGAAGGTACAATTCTGGCTGCAATGCCACCGGACCTGAGACTCCAGACATTATGCTAACATAAGAGGGGAAGAGAAAGGTTCAGAATAGTGGGACGGTATCGAGCTTGAAATAGGGACTTGCCTGAACTCAATTCAGTGGGAATATGGTATAATTGCTGGCTCAGAAAGAGTGCATTGCAGCGCGTACGGAAAACCGAGGAAGAAAAGAAGGAGGGACAAGACGCGTATAGCACCGTACCGGTAATATACCTCTTCTCCCGTTCTCCCGTTGCATCAAATGCCATCAGTCCGTTCCCTCATGTCGCATGACGAGGGACGCCACGACCGTCACAAGGTTGAGACCGTTTACAAGTCCGGAAACGTCCCATCAGAGTTGATCAGACACATTGATTACAGCCCTACCATTGGCTGACTCAGGAACAGCATCACAGATCCTGACAAGAAAATGTTCAGGATCTGTAGTGATCTGTATAGTTTAAGTATGTCAAACCATCTGTGGCGGTGCTGATGCATTCTATGCGTGATCTATCGAAATGCAGAATGATCAAGAAAGGTCTCTGGGGTAAAGGCTTGATCGACAGCGAAGCAGTGCATACCGAGAGATTCAACGTTGCAACCCATGTCCGAGGTCGTCATGGTGGTAGCTGGTGGTAGCCTCGGCCTTCCTGGTGGATAGAATCCTGCGGCTTGTACGATTCTCGGTCTGATGGAACTTGTACCAAGCATTCGGGTAATTATGTAGCGTCTGTAACTGAATGATCTTAAGTACAAAAATATCTCACTAAAAGGAGACCATGTTATCGAGAAATGTTACAATACAAGAAGAGAAATGTGAATCAACCTTGTGTATGACCGTGACTCGCATAGAGACCTATAAGTATAAATGCGAGGCGAGACCTAGAGTGATCTAGAATGGGGAAGTGCTTCCTAAAAAGGAAGCTATCGGAGGTTACAAGTAAACAGTAGCAAATATCTCTGGTGGCAACTCGCCTCAAGTTATCGCCATCGGCCCAACTCTCGACTATTCTTAGACAAGCTGCGGTCTGTTGCGAGTAGCCCCGGTAATGCGTACAGAAAAATCTATCAGGCTTTGTTTTTATCAAAGGCACCAACTACTATGTATTGCAGTGGGAAAGCGAACACTTGTTAAGGGTTGCTATCGGTTGCCTATATGTTACTACACTAACCTTATCTCAACATTAAATTGTAAACCCACTATAATATGCTTTGATT